TTGATTTGGCTGGTGGACGCAATTGCAGGTTAAAGCAATGTTAGAGAAACAAATAGCATTAATCAACAGGTTTTAAACAAAAAAAAAACAACCTGTATTTATTGAGAACACAAAGCTGAGAAAGTTTATTCAATCTACTGATTCGATCTAAAGATGACCATGAATGCAGATCTCAAAAGTCAGGACCCAGATTTAAAAGTGTAAACTACTCAAAACAGGGAGTCAATGAAGATTTGTATCTAATCATAGATAAGTAATAAATATATATATATGTGTGATGTTGAGAAGCCATGTCTTGTAATGTCTACTAATGTGGTTAGAAGTAGCTGTGATTTAGCATTTTTGCATTCAAGCCGGATTGCCCAGTTGAATCAAACCTAACAAGGGTCTGCGTGACAGATTTGCCTAGAAGAGCTACTACCTGAGCGATTGCGCAAAAAAAAAAAAAAAACTTGACCTTTGGCGAAACGATGGAGAGGCTGATTACAGGCTGCGGGTGTGACATGAGTGCTGTAATGATCCGCTTGTTCTGGCGTGGGCCTCAGCAATGTTTTCGCATCAGGAGCCAATTTAAAGGTCCTTTGTTTTGCTCTCCAACTTTGCAGGGAAAATTTCTTGGCCTCGCTGATAATCCACGAGGCCGAGAAGTTCACGACCGCGCTGCCCATCAGTTCTTGATAATAAGCAGGGAATAAACAGATCTCAGATTACTAACAATAGAAAACAATTGTGACCTTAAAACAGATACATAAGTGCGTATTATCACACAACAAGCGATGGCTTAGCGCGTTCAAAATCCCTTTCGCTTTTTTCACGCGACATTGAAGTCTATACGGCTTTCACATTTCAAATTTTTCTAATGAACGATTTCCAGTAAGCCATATTAGCCCTAAATTAATTTGGATTGGGAACAAACACGCTCTCTATTGACTATCATGGCATCTCTTCCACCACCGAGCCCATTCTCGGCGTGCGCATGTTTACGCCCGCCCGCCATCATCTTGTAAATGCTCATTAATTTCACCCCTTCATGGCAAAATCATTTCGAGGAGAAGCAATTCAGCCTCCTGTTCCTTTCAATTCAGCGCGCCCGTCAATCACGCGCACTATCCCGCAGAATGGAGGTGTTATATTCCTTGCAATTATCATGTCATATACTCGAAAATGTAAATGAACGTGTGTGTAAAATTAAATTTATGGGTTGTCAGTGAAGAATAAGAACCAGGAGAGCAATTACTTATCTGCTTTCATCTCGGAGCCTCTGATACGTCAAGCAGAAAAAGCATTCAGTTAAACGCTGGAATTAGCATTGTGCTGCACTTCACAATGGACGTGGGCCAGTGGCTTTTTGCACTTTCCTTTCTTTGTCCTGCCTTCGCTCCCTCCTTCTATCAACCTTTTTTTTCTTGGAAATATAACTGGAAACAAAGATGATTACTCGCCATTACGTCTGCATGCTGATAAAGAATAGACGATACGTAGCTTTCTTTTTCTATGTTGATTTTTCTTGTTTCTTGAAGTTGGCTGTTAGATGTATGTTGAGAGAAGAAGGTTGCGTCTGATAACTTGTAACTTCTGAAACACATTTTCTTAGTTGAACTGTAAGAATTGTGTTACGAAGTGGCAACATTGCAGCAGCTCACTGTTGCGACCTGTAGATATGTCGTTGTGACGCTTCTAATGATAGTCTTACCTAAAATTACCAAAAAGCACATAAAGAACATTGGGTGCATACCAGTGTTGGTTAAAATGGGCATTGTTGGAGCAGCGGTACCTTGAAAGCATGCAAAATAAAATTCAACTCAATTCAACTCAAAGACTAATGAATCATTCTAAATACAATGTTGAGTGGGTAAAGGAGATTTGGACAACACAACGTAACACTTAAAATCTGTTAAGTTGATTTTGCACAGTACATCTGCTTTAAAGCCACTAAATGCATTCATGAGCATGCATGGTTTTCTTTTTGGAGTTTCTCAAAGCTGAAGGAAGGAAGGAGGATTCAAGGACAGGGACATTTACCCGTCAACTTATTTGGTTATACTCATGTTCGTCATAATGGACCGACAACTGCTTTTATTTTGCAATCTCTGGCAAAACCAAAACTTTTGTTACACCTTTTGAGACATTCGCGATTTTGATTTTGGCCAGTACAAAAATACATCCATTTGATTTGTGTTGAAGCTAAAATGAGTCTGGTCTGCATCTGCAAGCAACCAATATCTAGACAGCATCCAATTAATAGCCTTAATGAGTGCGTCACATGTTGTTTCCCTGCTGCATTCGGTCCATTGTCGCGCCGTCCCACACAAAACCAGGAGTGACTTCAGGGGTAATTACTTACCACGCAAACGTACCTTTAAGGGTTAATAACATTGAAGGTGTAAGCACAGCATTTGCATAATTACGCACAGACTGTTTAATTTTCTACTTTTGACGGCTTTTGTTCCGGCCGTGCGCCCATTGCAAACGCAGTTATTTTTTTCTTTACATTGGTGCATCCAGAGAAGAAAAGAAGAGAAGTACTGCAGCAAGATCCTCCACCTGAGATGCGAGGCAGAAGACCCTAATGAACAATGGAGGCTGGATTTGTTTGAATATGAATATGAATGTGCAGCAGGGCCGGCTGGAAGTTGACCTTCAGCTGTGATTTTCAGTTCATCAGGATTAGTCAAGGCGGGCGATCAGGAGCCACTAATGCATAATGACTTCTAAAATGAAAAATGTGTAGTGACCATGCAAATGTCTCGGCTAATCAAAGAGGGGGGAGAACCTGGGGTGGGTGGTGTGCATGCGGGGTGGGTAGGCGTAGGAGAGGAGAGCTAAACAAGGACGTGTCAAGGCCTGACAGAGGGAGAGGGGGGGGAGGTGGGAGGAGGCGGGCTGACATGCACGGGAGGTAATCAAGGCAGCTTGATTAGGCGCCGATGAGGACAGGGATGTCTTATTGGCCCCTTGACACACCATAAAGGCTAGCTACTGTCATGCCAGCTCCACTGCAAACACCAGCACAATTAGCGTCACTGAAGGTGGTACCACAGGTTGATATTTTAATTATCTTTGGAGAGCGGTGTGACCACTACAGCGCGCAACACTAAATTTAGAAGTGTGTTGCATCCATGAGCTGTGTTTTACTTCATATAGCTTCAGGCAACACTTAGAAGACAACTTTGCCAATCAGATATGGATTTCACAGCTTTAATCATTCAAGATTTTTGATTAGAAACTTGTACACAACACATTTTTACAGAATTGAATTGTTTTGAACAGGAGGTGGATGAAGCAAACACTTGAAACTTCAAAACCCCCTTCACCCATTCAACACTGAGACAAGAATATATGGAACAAAAATGTCAACAGCAAAAATCAATACGTAACAGTAACACAATACAATATCAATATATGGTATAAGACAAGACAACACACTTACACAAGACACAGGGACAAACACTCACCCTACAGCTCTTCCACTACTTGCGTTGAGCTAAAGGTTCCTCCATGTCCTTACCTCATTTTACATGTTCAGTCATATTCAGCGTCTTCTCCCTAACGCAAAGCATACCTCCGACACCTTCTCTGATTGGTTGAAGTCACATTATTAACCAACATTTCCTTAACTTGAGTGAATATTTCCAATGCTCTTTCCCCCAGAGCCTATAGTACATAGCCTAGTTTTTGATAAATGACACTGGATGTTCGCCGACCTTCGAGCCATGACCCTTGCAGCCACACTGATTGTACCTCTTGTCACTTGTCCACTTCATCAACGTACTTCTAATCCAGTTTAGACTTTTGCATTTTCACGCTGTTTTTCCACAGTGGCACTGATAGGAGCGCGAAAGTGGGGGAGTTCAAGGGTCTCGCTAATTAAGGTCTACGTCTATTTAAATCCTGTACTGTTCCCGGTGGGACGGAGGCAGGAAAATAAGAGTATAAGAACACAAAGGCACAGCACCCAACTGTCCTTCAGCATCTCCTCCAGGCTGCCAAGCATCTCAACCATAGGAGGCCTTGCTCTCCCCAACGCCACTCACCAATTACCACACTCCCCGTAGGACCAGGCCACAAGGCTTGACATATACCTCTTATGCTCCATTTGCTAATTTTCTCTTTTCTTAACCCCTTCTTTTATGCCACCATCACAGCTTAGACAATCTAACTACGTCATTCTATTATGTCTTGATTTCAGAGATGGGGACCTAAGTAACTTATTCAAAAGTTCACTGTAATTTTAAAGTAGGTAATGGTCGCGCTGAAAAGGACTGCTGTTGATGTGAAGCTGACAAAAGCTTTGAAACATTGTGAGTTTCAGGGCTCCAATTTACTACTCCTCCTCCTAATTACACCATTAATGAATATATGTGAAATGAAAAAATGTTGGAAACGTTTTTGAGGGAAGCCAGGTTCCTGGATTGATCTCAGCTAGCAACTCTGCTACTTTGGCACCTGCAGAGTTAATCCAAGGGGCTCTGAAGCTGACTTTTTCTGGATTGTTTTTCTTTTCTCCAACAAATGTAGCTAAAATATATGGAACTGCATGGGAATTCATAGAACACCAAATTCTGTGTTACCCAGTGCCAAAATACAGGCAATCCTTTGGAAATAGAAAATGGCGGTCATGGAGTAATGGCTCAATACACTCACCTATTTTAGTTGAATTATAGTGTAGGCAGTGGACAGACTGGGTTACCTAATTTTCAAAAACATGAACTTTATGTATCCATCTTGTTCCTCAAACAGCTTGGTTCTATCACTAGTTTTCACATGCATCTATTTTTGGCCTATGTCAATTTGTTAGATACACTTGCTTTGATTAACTAACAGGGCTAGTGTTTTACAAGAACCAAAAATAACGTGTTTTCTGTTAGTGATGTCAGTAATCATTTACAGTATATTCATATTTAACCATACAGCAATCTGCATTTGGACCAATTCTACCAGATTTCCAACCTCCTACAGCCTCATTCCTTGACACTTGCTGGTCTTTGTGCTCACTTCAGGTGCCAGTGTCGGTTGCCATGATGAGTCCCCAGGTGATTACCCCCCAGCAGATGCAGCAGATCCTCCAGCAGCAGGTGCTCTCCCCTCAGCAGCTCCAGGCCTTGCTCCAGCAACAGCAGGCCGTGATGTTACAACAGGTACAGCCGAGCAAACATGACAACACAAGACAATACACACACACTCCTCCAACCATATGTGGGCACTACAGATGCTCTGGGTTTTTACTGTGACTGCCTGTTACTAAGAAAGTTACACATCTTGGCACACGTATCATTATTTAAGTCATATGTACAGCTGTTGGCTAGTGTTGGGATACTAAAATGTCAAACTCGATTTATATCAATGAATAGACTCGATATAAATGAATAGACTATTATGAATGTAAAATGTCTGCTTCCATATACTGTACATAGCCATTGTGCATCCACATAGCACAGTACATAAAACATAAAACTTGAGTCACGCTTGGACCAAAAGTGGCCACCGCTCTGTTGCCACATCACCACAGGCCTACGTCCTTGACACGCTTATGGAGAGTAATATGAAAATTGACGTACTTGTTCGTGTCACCTCTAATTAACTGTTTCTAATGTGTCACTGGATCAATTCCCTGACAAGCCTCCATCAGGGACCACAGAGCAGGACACATCTTGGCTGAACACCAGACTGAATGATAGGTGATGGATGATGTCATATTTGGAAATGAGTCCAAATGCATATATCACTCAGAGATTTGATTAAAGATTAATCAAATGAAGAAATTGTGTAATTAAGAACGTCATTCAATCTGATTCATTTTCATCAGACTTACTGATGGCACTGACTTGTAATTTAATTATGGTTTTTATAAAAGATCAATACCCAGATGAAAATCAGTAAAGATTCAAACAAGTATCAAGATTTAATGTTATACACATTGAAGGCACATTACATTTCCATAGGTTTCTTATAAAACTATCTCTCTCTATTTAATGGTGCATTGAAGCATTGAACCTTTTGTAGTTTTGACATGTGCAAATTCTAAGCACTAAATATACTACATTGTTTGATGTTCACTTTGGAATGGGGACGTAAGCATTTTAAAGCTGACGTCTATTTGTTCCTAATTGTTTTCTCTGCCTTTGAAAAACAGGAACACGCTGCAAGCCTGTTTTTGACACACTTACTAATAATGCTGCATTATGTTCGACGCCAACAGCTATTGTGACACATTGACAACAAATTGTTTACACTATGTTTTGTTTCCAGTGCGTTTGTGCCTGTGGTGGTGTAATGTGTGAATGTGTTTGTGTTCACAGCAACACCTGCAGGAGTTCTATAAGAAACAGCAAGAGCAGCTCCATCTGCAGCTTCTGCAGCAGCAGCACCCTGGAAAACAAGCCAAAGAGGTATGGGCTCACATTAGTACTCGAGTAGTAGTGCACAATAGGCATATACATGACAATACATGACAGTGTGTACAGTGGCTTCTGCTTATATACCATACTCAACCTCTGCACTCACTTACAAGAGGCATCTCTCAACCCATTTTACATGAATCCGCAACTATAAATGTGATTATATATGATTTATAATAAACTATTGAAGAAACTTGCTTTGACCTTCAGAAACAAAATCATCAAAGTTTAAGATTACTGACTTCTGCGTACTGTTGTGATGATCAGCTCAGTTTGTCAAACCAAATATTACCAAAGCTTAATGGGAAACCAGTGCTGATATTGTAAATCTTGTTGGATCAGGTATCGGTTTAATGATATTGGTTAAGTGCATTAAACTAAGCATTAAACTATGTGTTAGCTGATACTAGCCCAGAATGTCATAGAGTTGTAACTTTTACTCAAACAGTTCTTTGTAGTTACTTGCTGGATAATTGTAAAAAAAACACACACACACACACAATTAAACACATTTTGTAATTTAGCTGTGATTTGTATGGTATTTTTATTTTTTATTGGCTCATATCAGCTGGTATTACCAGATTTTGAAAGCCACAGAAACAGTATCAGACATAAAAAGCTGGATCGGTGCATGCCTAGAAATTAATACATCAAACATACTTTGTCATGCAATTTGACACTAGCCAAAAATAAAATGAATTGAAATATTACACAACAGCAATAACAGTCAGGATATCTTATTTAATTGCACATATTCAAAACTGACATATATGCCGCAGTGACATTGACTCCTCCGTAACATACACTGTAAAAGTCACTTCATCCTCCACAAACACTGTGTTGTTGTCGTGGGAACAACACAGAAATGCACTCTTTATGTAAACCATATGCACATCCAGCCCCTTATTAAGGGAAAGCCTCAGACAAAGTCCCCTAATGAAGTGTTTCTGTGGGCGGACAAACACACCCAAACATGGCCCTTCTGCTGAAGTTACACCGCATGACGCTCATAAATCACCATGACAGGCAACCGCCCGACAGACAAGGCTCCGTCCCGTTGTCTTTGGCTATCAGAGAACAGGAGAAGAGCCCTGACAGCCCCAGCTATATTTGCATAGTCGTGTTAGAGCACCGCACCTCACCCGAACCCTGAGAGTCCGCGGCTATATGCAGGAAATATAATGCACGAGATTTGGCACTTTAAATTGATCCCAAAAAATAAGAAAAACAGGCCCTGTCTATCGCTGTCTGTCTGCGAACCTCTCAGCCTCTCCTCAAGCAGCCCATTATGCTGCCCCTAAAGAACGGCGCCGCTGACCTCCCAGTGGCTTTGTTTCTGTTTGGATTTGTGAATAGAGTTTTTTTGGGGCCCCAGCCATCAAATATGGAATAGAAATTGCTCCCTTATTTCTCTTGAGGCTGGGTGGAGGAGAGTCTCATCACTACATTATGCAGACTGTTTTCCAGTGAGTGCGTCAAGTTTTACCCTCCACCCCCTTCACTACAAGATCTGCCTATAATATCTATATACATATTATACATACACACACACACACACACACACACCTGGCTTACACATAAGGCACTCGTTAGCTGGCCAATGTAAACTTCAATTCCTGAAGTTAAAGGGAATATATGCCAGATACATTTTTCAAGTTTAAGATCATTTATGTTTTGTTTACTAGGGCTGTAACAAGTTCATTGATTAAACACAGCTAATTTATTATTGAAAAAATGTCAACTAATTTAATTAATCTAATTAATCACCATACCTGGACCAATACATGCTAAAACAAGGGTTTATGATGATTACTACAGAATGACGTGAAAATGACTTGCAAGTATTTTTTAATCAAGCATTCAAGTATGTTACATCTACTCTCTTGGAAGACTTTCTCACAATGTACCATTTCATTACATTGCACAGGTTTTTTATGTACAAATAAAAACAAACCACATTTTTTGCTCGTTACTGTGTTAGCATAGTATGATAAGAATGTTAAGCAGTCTTGTTATATATATTCATTTTTGATTCACAAGCGTAAATTCTAATAATAGAAAATCACACTGTTTAGCTAAAGAAAAAAGATTCTAAAGCAAAATGAATGTATTATATAACAGCAATAATTCACAATAGCTGAGACTGTAACACGTACTCTTTTCTGTAATGCCGCAGTGGGTAGATATGTTTGAGGTTTTGTTTTTGTTTTTGTTTTGCACAGAGCTTATGCAATCGTCTGTCTGGCCCAGCGATGAACTGTGCGCAGACAGGAGAGAAAGTGTTGAGCAGTGTGTGCCTGCGTTTATATTCGAGTGACACTAAATCTCTCCCTCTGGCCACATAAGCTGTAACAGACCATCAGCGAAGGCGAGACAATTAATAATGGGTGTAGGGGTGTAGGGGGAGTTTGTGGCACAGGGATTAGACCAGAGGCTTAGTATCATACACAATCACATTGCATGTACACTATGTCTATCTGTCACACAAACAGGCAAGAGGAAACATCAGCAAAACAGAGAGCACAGAGCAGACAGAGGAGGAGGCCAGGTCAAAGGGAGATCTGGTCAAGCCTGAGTGCCAATTATATTATTGGCTCCATGACCGAACCCACAGAGGAAAAATAACAGTCAAACGTCTCTAAATGCATACTTCTCATCCTGTCGTAGTGTTCCCTTCTTCCTGTAGTTGTTAAGTCAAGGTAATTTCCCTCCCTCCCTTCTTTGTGTCTCTCTATAGCAACAGCAGCAGCAGCAGCAGCTGGCCGCCCAGCAGCTCGTCTTCCAGCAGCAGCTCCTGCAGATGCAGCAGCTCCAGCAGCAGCAGCACCTGCTCAACATGCAGCGCCAAGGCCTGCTGTCGCTGCCCGGACCTGCCCCTGGTCAGGCCGCGCTGCCAGGACAGGCCCTGCCCCCTCAAGGTAAGGCCCTCGGTGCTGCTCTCTCCTGCTATTTTTACTTTGTGCATGCCCAGACTGTCTCAGCCAAACAGTTGTCCAACTACTTACCATGCCGCCATAGTGTGACTAGTATTGTGTGAGCCTCTGTCACATGGATTGTCAAGCTCTGCTTTGAATGTTGCCATGTCTCCCGTGGAAGGCATTCTATTATAGGGCTGTATCAAGAAAATCCATTAATCACAATAATCTATTATAAAACCTCTTTTCAGCATATTGTCATCTATGTCAGGTTCAAAAAACAATCAAGATTTGGATGATTCTGTAATGAATGCAGAATGGTATAAACATGTGTTTATAAAATATTTTAATCAAACAACCCGATTGTGTTTTCCAGGGGCATCACTTGAGCTTTCTATTGATCAAATATATAAAAAATCCCATAGACACAAACTTTTTGAAATCCATACAACTAATAACAATTAAAGATTATCAAAATAATCATTTATTTTAGCACTATTCAATTACTAGATTATTATACAACTATCTCCCATTGCCAATTTGAAAGAACCAGATAATCTCTTTTGTTTTGTCTCTGAGCTAATTCCCTTGTCACTGTCTCTCTTTCTGCTCTTGATGACAGATTCTGATCTCACATCTGGACGCATGTTTGTGGTTTTGGTCTTTTGTGTCTGTGATCAGTGATCACCTGTTGCCCTGTCTGCCTCATGTCTTTCTTTTCGTCCTCTCATTGTTATGCCAGACACTTTTTTTCATTCTTTATCAAGCTTTATTTGATTTTTCCTTTTTACAATTAGGCTTCATCTTTGTCTTCCTCCCACTCCACTCACTGTGTTTGTGTTTTTCATGTCTATTCCCTGCTCTCTCTCCCCTCCGCTCATCTCTGCGGGTTATTGTTGTTTTTGTTTACGCCTCCAGTGAGCGCCAGACAGAATAAACTCATTCTTTAATGGCATGGGAGCATAACAAGTTCCTATGTGTTGCGTACGACTTACTAAAATGTTTGAACAAGATCAGAGCCCAGATCAGAGTTGCATTTTCAAAAGAAGATAAATAAATGAGCTTTTTCAGAGTTCAAAATTGGATTCAAATGCTGTTTGTGTATGGTGAGGAATAAGGCAAAAATATGTGCTTCAGTTAAATCTAGTTTTCACATGTATGTATTTGTTTTGTCACATCATTAGATCAGCTTTTTTAAGACAGAGGCGTGAAAAAGAGAGAACCACCCTCACTCAGCCAATCACCTCTCAAGCCAAAGCATCAAATGTGATTTATTTTTACAAAAAGAGTTAAAGACAGCATGCTATGGTGTGAAGTTTTCCCCTGTTCTAGAGTCTTTCTGTTGGGACAAATAACCAACGGTTAGGTACCCCAGCTTCAAATGGACAGTGTGAAAGCTCTTTTGGGTTAGAACAGGGGGCTCCAACCTGTGGCTCGGGAGCTACCAATTGCTCGCCATCCCCTTTCAGGTAGCTCTCCAAAGGCTACAATAATTTACCAAATGATCCTGAATGATTCACCTTTGAGTTAATTAATCTATTTTAACTGTAAATGTTTTCATGAATGCCGGCATGTGTGTTCTCCATGATTGGCTGTAGTTATTATGCAGACCACAATTGTGTTACAACTGCTAAAGGAGTAGCTCTCTGCCATTTCTGTTTTTTTAATATATACATACAATACAGGTGCAGACCCTATAATACAGGTGCAGACATACAATACAGGTGCAGACCCTACAATACAGGTGCAGACATACAATACAGATGCAGACCCTACAATACAGGTGCAGACATACAATACAGGTGCAGACCCTATAATACAGGTGCAGACATACAATACAGGTGCAGACCCTACAATACAGGTGCAGACATACAATACAGATGCAGACATACAATACAGATGCAGACATATATACGGATGAGCATACAATACAGGTGCAGACATACAATACAGGGGCAGACATACAATACATGTGCAGACCCTACAATACAGGTGCAGACATACGATACAGGTGCAGACATCCGATACAGGTGCAGACATACGATACAGATGCAGACATATATACGGATGAGAATACAATACAGGTGCAGACATACAATGCAGATGCAGACATACTATACGGATGAGCATACAATACAGGTGCAGACATACATTACAGGTGCAGACATACCACACAGGTGCAGACATACAATACAGGTGTAGACATACGATACAGGTGCAGACATACAATACAGGTGCAGACATATGATACAGGTGTAGACATACGATACAGGTGCAGACATACGATACAGGTGTAGACATACGATACAGGTGCAGACATACAATACAGGTGCAGACATACGATACAGGTGTAGACATACGATACAGGTGCAGACATACAATACAGGTGCAGACATACAATACAGGTGCAGACATCCGATACAGGTGCAGACATACGATACAGGTGCAGACATACAATACAGGTGCAGACATACAATACAGGTGCAGACATACGATACAGGTGCAGACATACGATACAGGTGCAGACATACAATACACGTGCAGACATACAAACAAATACAGTAAAACAAAAGGAAGCAAACAGACAATAGCATGCCAGTTTTGTCTGTTTGCTTCAAAAAAAGTTAGAGACCCCTGGGTTAGAACAACTTCATTTGCACCTCAATCTACATCTCATAATTTCCCTTTTAACTGTTTCCTATCATGCAGGTGGCCTAAGTCCCGCAGAGCTGCAGCAGTTGTGGAAAGACGTGACCGGAGGTGGGGGCCACGGCATGGAGGACAACGGCATCAAACACAGCAACAGCACTGGGGGAGGAGGCGCGCCCGGCGGACTGGACCTCTCCACCAACAACACCAATACAACTACCTCCTCCAACCCCGCCGCCAAAGCCTCTCCGCCCATCCCCCACCACGCCCTCGCCAACGGCCAGTCACCTGTGCTCAACCACAGACGAGAGCGAGAACGGGAACGGGAGAGGGAGCGCGAGAGGTAAAGCGCCTCGCCGTTATTAAAAAAAACAAGTTATAGGGGCATTGGGCTACTGTTTTGCTTGTTGCCATAGAAATGTATTCTCGTTACTGGTCAGGTTTGTTGTTTTTGTGATTATTATCCATTTTTTAAAACATATACACACATAGAACCAGAAGAAGAAAAAAAACATTAAATAGAAAATCATTCAATCTGCTAAAACAAAACAACAACAACAAAACAAAGTCAACGTGTTAATTGCTAAAAGTTATTTTACCATATTTATGTTATTGCTTTACTCGTAAAGCAAAATGCATTCTTTAAAACAAATGCATTCTTCAATTATGGAGGATTTTAGTGCTTTTTTTTATGAATATATTATGTAAGAAGATGCAATACTGTAGAAAAAAATCAAACCCAAGAAAAAGGCAGAACCTTCGCCAGGACAGTACAAATAAAGCTGACATTGACATTAATATCAGTTGCAAGTATTTTAAGTGTTGGGGCCAGAAACATTCTATACATGTATGACATAATCATGGAAACAAGCAACTAATACAAAATAAATTAAAAGTACAAACCTGGATAGACAGCCATACCATTGTGTGAGACAAACAATATTCAAATTATTTTCTCTTTATATTTGCGGTGCTTATCAAGTTTTGTGTGAAGCTTCCTTTGAAAAAATAAAAATTGAGATTTCTGCAGTCATTGGTAGTGACTGTTGTTTATGCGGACAATATTGAATGATTGACTAGTGCGTACATGGAAACTTGTGCCCTTTTATGGAGAGAAAACCACAGAACTTTACCAATTAGGTCTCCACTTTCTCAGCAGGTAAACCTTTATTGAAGAACTTGGTTGAAACGGCCGTGCTTCCACTTAAGAGCCAAATAAATCATGATGATGATTTTCCCCATATTCAAGCAGCTTTACAATGTTTTCCAGCTCCCATAGAGGAGATAAAAGTTTATTTGTACTTGCCACTTGTTCACACATAAAACAAACGTTGCTTGTTGGGACTTTTTGCATTATTATTTAGATTTGTGAAAAAAATATAGGGAATTATACATCTGAGGACCTCCTCCCTGAGTGTTTGCCCTCGTTATAACTGAGACTCTGTTACTTGAGGGAAAAGAGCATGTTTTGTTTATTTGTTCAATAGTTTATTATTATGTTAGCAATATTCAAAAAACAAGAGCTGCAGCTCCCCAGAGAGTACAGGAACACACTTTGCTTGTACACAGATATCAAACAGGCAGAGAGAAAGCAGGCAGTCTCTACAACAACAAGCAAGACAAGGTAACCTCATACATTAAGTATTTAGTGCCGCCTCTCGTCTTTTTATCCTTTGTAAATTACCTTCCTGGCTTGCTTGTCATGTAAACAGAATATGTTCTGCTTTGAGTGGCATTTCCAAGATGTTTATATGTGATGCCACCTTTTCTAAATACGCCCGGCACCAAAACACAGACTGTTACATCCGCCTATCTGTCCTATGCATTATTCAAAGGCTTTTTCTGGGCGATATTATAATAAGGACTTTGGGGTAGCGACGCACGTGTCTGCGTCGATGCGCGGTAAAGACCTGCACTGAAGGTGGAAGTGCTGTGTAATTGGTTTAAAGTAGATGCTATCTCTCCAGCGTGTGGAAAAGGAGGCTTGAAAAAGATATCTTGAGAGCGTGGGGTAGAGTGAGGGAGAATGAGAAGCAGTTTTTATCTGCTTGTGTCCTGGGGGCTGTGTGGTCTCATAATGATGGTACAAGAAGCATTGTCAGGAGTGGCGCTTACTAACATGCCGCCGATCGATGCGGGAAAGCCCCTTTGGAAAAAAAGAAATGCACTCTTGAGCTCTGACACGTGTGAGTATTTACAGGCCACACATGGGAAAAGATGTTGTTGAAAAAGATGTAAAATATTTTGCTATTATTGACTGATTTTAGTTTTGCCCCTGTGTAGATGTGTTGTAACAGCAGCTGTTGATGTTCTAAAAGAGATATTTTTTCTGAATTTTAATGCAAAAAAAAAATGTTTTATTGAGAGACCGGAAGTTCTCAGCTTATTCAATGAACATAGTAGACAAACTGCCTGTTGGGCTTTAAGACTTCAACACCTTTTAAAGATGGGATGCTTAACTTTCAAATCATAAACAATGGAACCACAGTATGCAATAAAATCCACTTTAGAAGTCCCTCGCTCTAAAAACAATTTGCTTCTATCACAATTTTCTCATACATGCCTTTATATTTTACCTGTCACATCTTTAAATCAGCCTTTTCATTCTGTCACCAATCAGCTTTGAGCCAAAAACGTCAAATAGTTACTCACAAGGCTTTTTTTTACAAGTATGCAAAACATGTTTCAGAATAAGGGTTCGAACCCCAGTCAGAACAGGGCCTTTCTGAGTGGAGTTTGCATGTTCTCCCCATGTCTGCATAGCTTTCCTCTGGGTCCTCCGGTTTCCCCTACCACTAGAAACATGCACAGTAGGTATTTCCTCCTACTCTGACCAGTGCTCCTGCCCGAGGCCCTAGTGGCATTTGCAGGATGGGTCAAATGCAGAAGACAAAGCTCACTATGGGGATAAATGCAGTCCACATTTACATAATCTTTTACTTTAACAAGGGTTTTTCTGTTGTCCTCTAACAAAAGGAATCAGTCGGTTCATAGGTGTGGCGTAAGTAGTGGAATACATATTCAAAAATATTTGTCGTCTTTACTGTCGGATGTGCGGTCCAGGCAGGCTCGTAACTAATTTTCTTGCCATTTGAAAACCGTCCTTAGATTTTGCCCTTGTCTGCAAAGAACATAAGTTACACACAGTATTAATCTCCAGATGAAAATGATTTGGCCGTCTGAGTTTTTATTGTCTGCATGACAGTCAGCACCTCTTCTCAAAATGTTTTTTTGTTGTATTATTTATTTTACACAAAGCACAAAAGCCGTTTGGTTATAACAAATAGTATGCATTTGTTGTACTTTTCTTCTCAACCGTTCAGTCCCCCTGGCTATTGAACCACTGAGCTCCACCACGAGGAACGTCTCTATTGATTTTGACCGGACACAAGCTTCCATAATCTACAAAGTCCATTGTCCATTACTGTGTGTTACCCGTTTAACTGTGTTGTCAATGCTTTTACTTTGTCTCCAGTTCGTTACATGAAGAAAATGGAGGAACCCACTCTCTTTATGGCCACGGCGTGTGCAAATGGCCTGGCTGTGAAAACATCTGCGAGGACTTTGGGCAATTTTTGAAGTAAGTACGCATTTCATTTCACCATTATTTCAACCTATGTTACGATTTATGGGTGGGCACAAAAAAACAGACTTTATCAGAGGGTGCTATATGGTAAGATGACTGCGGTGATAATGGAGTTTGTATGTATGTCTGAGAGTTGCATGCACATTTAGGCACTATACTGTATTATTTCATGCATTCCGGTCTCATTTTTCTCATTCTTACATTCCCCAGTGCCGTAGACATTTTACTGCCACAATGTCTGACCTTTTTGATGATGCTAGAGGGGACCCTGGGGCGCGTGCAAATCTGTTTACAATGAGTTTGTCTCAAAGACTGTCACACTGGCTGTGTCTCTGGAAGAACTATTATGAACCATTTTTTGTACGCAGATGATTTAGTCGTGTTTAGTCCAAGTACGGCTGGTTTACAGCAGCTCCTTAATATCTGCTCAACTTATGGTCTGGAACATGATATTAAGTACAATAGTTCGAAGAGTGTGGTTATGATTTCTAAAACCAAGGAAGATAAGAACCTGACATTTCCTAACTTTTGTTTGTGTAATGATGTTTTGCATGTTGTCACCAAAATCAAGTACCTCGGGCACATCATCACTGAGGACATGTCTGATGATGATGACATTTACAGACAATGCAGAGTGTTGTATGCCCAGGCTAATACCCTGGCACGGAAGTTTGGCTGTTGTACAGAGAGAGTGAAGCTAACGTTATTTAAAGCGTACTGTACTCCCTTATACACAGCTCATCTCTGGTCTCATTATAAGAAAGCCAGCATGCGTAAGCTCCAGGTGGCCTATAATGATGCTTTGCGTGTGCTTTTGAAAAAGCCGAGATGGTCAAGTGCCACAGAAATGTTTGTTAATGCCAGAGTGAACACTTTACAGGCCGTGCTACGAACTTTGATGTACAGCTTTATGTGTCGATTGAACACGTCTGAAAATGAAATAATAGTGTCCCTCACGAATATAAAATGGAGTGCGACACGGTATCAATCTGACTTGTGGAAACATTGGCATGGTTGTCTTTTTAAAATGCCATTTTAATTGTCTGTCTTGTGCTTTATTTTTTATTTTATTTAATTGTATTGGACTGTGAGTCCGGAATAAAGTTGAATTGAATTGAATTGAATTGTCAGTGTAGTTACATTGTTGATCAATACTGGGATTTAAAACGTTGCAGACTATATGAAGATGATCCATGCCAACTATCAATTATAAAACATAAGTCTGGAATAAAAGAAGAATTTAGCCATAATAAAATGCCCGTCTGTTATAACTCGGGATTTTTCTGATGCAGAGGTTTTGTCCAGGTGTTCCGGTTTCCCCTACCACTAAAACATGTACAATAGGTCTGGCATGCGCCTCCTGTACTGGCGACAAATGCCCACAATTGTAAAGCGCTCTGTGAAAGGCGCTATATGAATAAAGATTTCTTACTTACTTACTTGATACCGATTCTGGTATTGTAATCTCATCACATATACTGGAGTTCTTCAGATTGTCTATAATATTAACCCATTTTTAAGTAATTTTAAGTGAGACTGCATGTTCTCAATGACGTAATATTTGATATTAGTTTCAAAAGGAATCCCAAAAAAAAAATTGGAACATCCCTAGTTGTAACAGTTATTCTTCATTCAACAAAAGCCACATTGACCTCACACTGCAACGTTCACTAAAAGCTGTAACACATCTTCTTCCCACTGCTCCCGAGACCCAAATAGTTGTGTGTGAGAAAACAACGTCAAAAGCCAATGCAACCTGCTTGGCCATGCACATAGCCTCTCAACAAAAGCCCCCTTTCACTGTTGTCATGGTGCGGGCGCCAGAGCCAATGCACTCTTCATGCTCCATCAACAATTTAGTTAATTAGCTCATTTGTAATTGGCCAGCTTTGTTGCCTGGATGTCGGCGAGGGGACATCAAAGGAAGAAGGTGTTTGCGGCATTGGCGATTACAGGTTATCACGTTGCCACTCACTCCGACTCGAGCTGCCATATCCTCCATTCCCTCTCTTTTTCACTATCCCTCTTTCCTGCACGCACACACACATACACACACACATGCGCATATGCAGAAGGAAAATAAAGGGAAAGATTTCATTTGAATATTCTAATTAGAATTGTAATTAACTGTGAAATAACGATCTGGAGAGTGTTTTTTTCACAGACTGTAAATGTCCATGTGAAATCATATAAACTCTCGAAAATCAGGACATTGTTCGGGCACATTTTCTCAAATTATGCATTTCTCTACAGCAGTGACGTTAATAGGCTCGAGTGGAGTGGGGGGGGGAAGTGATACTCGAAACTAGTCCACCCAAGGGAAACAGTGTAAGGATTTAGGTCATGTTTTTGCTAATTCCACATTAGCTGCCAAATAAATTGCTTCCACAAACACAGAATGACAGGACATTAGCTGCATTTTTACACTTTATTAACACATAAAGGCTTAGAGAGAAACACAAATGCGGAAACCAGCTTTTATCGCAGCCAGTGCTCAAACTTGCCCTTGCTTATCCTATGAGCAAAATCCCCCACACACGTTACAGTACATCCCATTCATGCGAATAATCTGGGGATGATTCTCTAAGTCGTTCCTTAATCTAAAACCAAAATCCGAGATGCAACGCGCTGTCCGGACTCCGCGACAGTTGCAGGTGAAGGAGTTTGCGCTGCAGCTTGGGAGCAGCAGACGTGTGAGGCGGCATGGATGGGGAGGATTATTGTTGCCACGTCGCGTTCCCATTGGCGCGCTGCACTTACTTAAAAGAAGGCATCGGTTTGCGTTTGCGCACCGTTAGCACACAAGCCTCGGTAAGCCTGTGTGCGCTGCAGATTCTATGTACAGGTAGATTAACTGGTTATTTAGGCGAGGGCCCGTTCGGTTGAGCCGGAAAGTCAACGGCAGAGTCCAAACGCTCCAAAGAAACAATATTTCGAAAAGATAGAGCGTAATAAGCGTCTGCTTCGTCCTGCTCCTTTTCAGGCTGTATTTCTGTGGCATGTGTGCCTCTTGTTTTCATGTTGAACTCATACACAACTTTGAAATAAACTGATTAATTGACAATAGGATACAAGAAATGGAGAGAGTCTATATGGTCTTGTTGAACCAATACTCTTTCGTGGCTGATATTTCTATCACCCGTGAGGTATAGACGTGTTTTATCCTGTTAGTTCTTTTTAACTTAAGTTCTTTCTGCAAAATAATAATACAGTGGCCAATAATAATCTTTATAATATTTTGACTGTTTTGAAATGAGGGAATTCGACCGGTTCATAGGTCACTCTAAAATCTTACCATTTCCTTCCGGAGAAAGCTAGCTGTAGAGATTTGCTCTAGCATTAGATGAAACTTAAGTCTACCTTATTGGGGCATCTCTATCTCTCGGTTTTAGGCACTTTTACCATCAAACTGCGTCTCAACCATTTGGTAAATGGTTGGTATAGTTAAGAAAACAGGGAGGTTAAAAAATAAATAAACATAATAAATTAGTTGTGTTATTAGTGCTCCTTTATCTTAGATAAATCAAAAAAAGAAAAACTATATGGATTTTTTCAAGGAGTGAACATTAAAGAGTTGAAAAGACAAATCTGAGGGAAAAAAACTGCTCAGGACAAACTGATCTGACCCCTCGATAACCGGGAGGCGCTGTACCCACATCCAAAACATCATTCTTCAGACTGTAAAACCAGGTAGACTCCAGACATGAAAGCAGCGACATCAGCGGCAGCGGCGACAGCTGTGGATGCGCGGGTTGCCAGAACATTTACTCCCACAAAACAGAACAACGTCTCGGTTCAGACCCCCCTTCGACGAGTTAGAGGCTGGCTCCCACTGTAACCCAGTCAGCACATGAAAAACAGGCGCCCACAAAGAAGCCAGGCTCGTCACCAGAACAAAGATGGCTGCTCGGTGGCGTGCCTTGGAGCGGTGATTGTCGGTGTCAGAGGGGGGCCTTTCAAGTTGTCGGAGATGCCAGCGCACACACACACACATACACACAAGTGCAGTTAAAAACGGGGTTACATAAAGCAGGTGTCAGATTTAGATGACAGTTTAGATGTTGTGTGTGTGTGTGTGTGCGCATTTGTGTATGAGCCGAAAAAGGAGGGGAGCTGGCGTCTTGCGCTGTAGGGGACTGGCGCGGCGGCGGTGACACGTTTAGTCATCTATTGTTTTGTTGCATGAAGAAACTTGTCAGGATCAGCGTTTAATAGCTCTTCAATGCGCTTTTAAGTGTTCTCACCTGGAAAAGGTAGCCGTGAGGTGGCTGGCTCCCTGAATTAGCTCTCTGAAGTTCAAAATGAAATGATATTGCCGGGGATGTTTCTCTTGCGCAGGGTGTGTGTGTGTGTCTATTTGTGTTAGAGAATGAAAAGATGCTAATGTACGCATGGTGTTATGGTTGTTATAGATGCGGGAAAAAACAGCACAATCTCAACTGTGTTTAGACAAGTTTTATTTTGTCAGCATTTTAGTCACCGCAGGCAGCAGCTTTGCAAATCTGTTGTCTGAGCATAAGTTGTGAGCTACAGCTATAACCACAGCACAAAGGCCTTATCTTCTTGTATTTATTATATGTATTGTTTAACCCTTTAGGCACCAAAGTAGAAGAATTGGTACCATGGCATCCTACAACATTTTCCACTAGATGTTTCATAATAATTCCATAGATCTAATACTGTTTTTGATTTCACATCTTTAGCTTCAACCTTTTGTATCTGAAAATAGTTATGACTAATAGAAGAAAAGAATCCATTGACAGTGATATTGAGACTTACATACACTTATTTTGTATTGATTGATCTATTGAACTAAAGTACCTGAATCCTACATGGATCACAGAAAATGGCAACAAACTAACCAAAATATGTAAATAGAGAGTGTATGTGTGTAAAACTGTGATCTTCTACAAATCCTAGAATAACTCAACTTTAAGTGGTTGATTGAGAAGAGAATGTCGTCTTCTTTGTTGGCAGAGGTGGCTGAGTGGTTAGCACTCTCGCTCCTCAGCAAGAAGGTTCTGGGTCCACCTCCAGATAGGGCCTTTCTGACGAGCATTGTCAATTTTTCCCGTTGTCTACATAGCTTTCCTCCGGGTGCTCCGGTTTTCCCTACAACTAAAATCATGTAAATCAGCTCCCCTCTCTCGCCACTCCACCGAAAAAGAGATTCTGGTTAAATAAAGGTCAAATAAATAGATAAAAATGAGTGCAATATGCCACAATCGTTCTCATTGTCTTATTCTTACATGTATTATTGACCTCTAAGCTCAGCAACTGAAACAATGTAATGGGAACTGGCCCAATCTTTTGACTCGTCCCAAACATATTGCTGTTGGCTGCTGAGCAAACACGTCTTTTACCCACAGACTCTTTCATCACTGACCTCCTCTTCATCGAGATACAGTGGCTTCTACCGCGCATAAACACACACTCACTTAACTCCTCCACTCTCTGTCACCACTCCACTCTCCCCATTACTGGCAGGAAGGCAGACTCCATGTTAAAATGGCAAGCTCTGCCGCTAACCTGAGCGCCTGTGTCTGTATCCCACTGCTAATTAAACCCACAAGGCAGTAGCCATATTTCCTACACGCACACACACACACACACGTATAGAGCAGGCAGACAGGCTCCGTCCCCTGGATAGCTCCTCTCCCCTCGACCCCTTTGCATGTCTGCTCACTGTGACAAGACCTTTAAAGCGAAGGCCATTAAATATGCACCATGGGGGGAGCGTGTGTCCGTATGCATGCGTGTGTGCTTACCATTACACTTGTTTAGCGGCATAGGTGTCCATTTGTATACCTTTGCCTAATGAATGTGTGTGAATTCAGACCTGGAGCTACAGTATTGCCCTGTTGTGTACGGGACTGGTGAGTTGCGCGTCCCCTTCTGGGCCACTGTAGCCCCTGACAATACACACAGACAATTAGCTCGGCCACATGCTCCGTACACATTTGGCTTGAGCAGATTTATTATATGGTCCTTAGTGGACTTTGATGATATATACATATTCATAAGCAAAGCTGTGGGGAAAATACCTTAGAGAGGGGTTTGTTTCTCTTTTCTTTAAAATGTAAAGTTGCAATAACAAAGGCGCCATATTGGGGATTTGGAAAAAAAAGGAGAAAAATGTGCATGTTTTATACAGTATGTACTAATTATTATTTACTGTTTGTATTTTAAACTTAAGTTTTTCATTTCATGCCAAATATTAAATAAACAAAACAATAAAACAAGATACAAAATAAATAGAACAGTTTGAAAAGGGTTTGGATGCAGCAAACTCACATTCAGCGAAACTCTCTGACCTTACACCTCTCTCCGATCACTCACTCAATGCTCAGGGAATCACTCTCTTTCCTTCAAGTACTTCTTCCATGTTTTGTTTTTAAATAATGTTTTATATAGAAACAGGTATTTGCTTCATCTGTTAATCCGCTCTAAAGAATAACTCCCCTTACAACGAGACACTTTGATTTTGAAGTTGTTCTAAAATGTGTGTTTGTATCTATTCCATGCCTTCAGATCTGGCTCAGTTTGTGTTGTTGCTCTTGCACAGTCTACACACGGGTAATCCCCCTTGAACACTGAAATCAATATGACTGAAATGAGCCATAAACTGTAAACATAAACAGTTGTCAGCAGGGTCCAATACCTTTTCAATGACTGCTGCCCCACTGGCAACAAGGTCATTAAACAATCACCTTAAACCCCCCATTGATTTGTATAAAGCTAATTGGCATTCATTAAAAACTGCCCCATCATTTAATTGCGTTTTCAGACGTACAGTCCACACACCATGGGCGTATCGCTCTCCAGCCTATGTCCATTCCATTCCCGATGTCTTTGTGTGGCATTATTAATGCACAGTAGGACACGCTGGCATTTAAATATTTTATAAATGCATGTAGTAATCCGGCTGTAATCGTCTCACTAACTGGCCAGAAGTATACGGTGTCTGCTGAGGGAAATAAGTGCCTCATTGTTTCACAATGAGCACACAGAGGAAAACACTGAAAGTCAAAATATTGTTAAAAAAAAAAAAAAAAAATGGCAAAATTAGATAAATCAAGCCTTCTTTGATATAGTGTTGATAATTATAGCTCACAGCTTGTAAAAAAACAAACAAATAAAATGTATCAGAAAATTTGAATATTTTGAAAATGGACTGTAAACCATAATCTCCACAACTATCTATATTTCTATCTATTATTTAACAAACAAAGACTTTGAATATCTCAGGTTGCTCATGAGTCATATTTTGGTTTGTAAATTGTAATGATATTCAGATTTTCCGGGTACATGTACTGTACATGATTGTCAGCTGTACATTTAAAAGCAGAATAATACATACATACATACATGCTACCCCAGAAGTTAATATAGATTTCTTCCTGTATTTTTGTAATGAGCTATCTTCTGGGACGACGCGCAGCTCGCTCTGTGCTTTCGAAGCAGCTGTAATTCGTGACACCCGCCATACATCAAGTGCATAAGATAGTATTATGGGCAGTGAAATGAAAAGGGTATTTGCAACATTAGTTCCCTCATCCTGCGTGGGACGTGATTAAATGATTAATGAAATGCCCCTTTTTGCATGCGCTTTCAGGAACAGCAATTAGGCACAGGGCTGGAGACTGCACCGGCCTGCCTGTCCCACCCCCCCTTACCCATGCACCCATCACCCCCATCACCTTGCATTTTAAGGCACCTCATTCTTGATTTATAATGAAAAATAACTGTGCATTAGAGCTGAATTGCTGACTGAAAGCAGATGTAGTGGGTTTTAAATGTGCTCTCAATAATTGAGGGCTATTGTGTTTGCAATGGCAGCGTTTGTGTTTCGATTGGCAGGCCATGGAACCTCCTCGCTCAGTTGTCTTGTTACTCACAAAGCAGATAAACAAAAATGTGTTTATGAGCCTCTGTTCCAAGTTCACAACAGTGTAAGCAAGTGTGTGTGTGTGTGTGTGCGTCTGTGTGCATTTGTTGGATAAGTGAAAAGCAGGAGGATTTTGTATTCTCTAATGCACTGGAGCTGTGCTGTAAATGATCATTGAAGGGTCTGCAAGCTAACCTATAATTACTGCAGATAAAGTGGCAGCTCTGGCATTTCATAAGCAGGCCTCCTCAAAGCTTGCTTTGTGAGTTTGTCACCAATGATCATTTAGATAGAGGCTCATTACCCAGCATCACAACACTTTAGAAGCCCCTTTTTGCCCCATATCTGTGTACTGCACTTGTGTGTGTGTGTGTCTGTGTGTGTGTGCTCGTGTTGTCTGTGGACGTGTGCTTGTGGAATAGAGTTCTATCTTAATGGTTGGACTCTTTGTGTCCTACAGACAAAATCCAATCAAGACAAAACCCTCATTGACTGTTATGGCTGTCTGACTGCTTTTCCCTTCTAATGAGGCGAACATAGCAGATACATTTAATATGTCTGCCTGTGGATAATGCACCTTCAGTTGGAGAGCTGCTTTGTGTGTCAGATGTTGCCGGTGTTAAATTGTGTGTATTGTTTTCGGTAAACGAAGGAGACAAAGCCGTTCTGCAGGGCTAGCATCTTTTATTCTCTGTAGAAAGCTGCTTTCAGGGGGGCACTGAAGTTAGCCATCTAAACTGGTGCAGGCCTATTGTCATGTTAAACATGGCGCCACACACCGCTATGTTACTTCTAATTACATTATTTCACTCTGGAACAATAGCCTCTATCTCTTCCTATAGATAATTGTCTTTTAGATTTATTCTTGTGAAAACAAAACCACTGAGTGATGATGCTGTAATTATCATCTTCCACACTTTTGATCACAGTATAAAAGACACAGATTTCTTTTTTCTATACTGTACTTTTCATTTGGTGTCTAACAGTCTTGTGTTATTTTCCCTTCGCAGACACTTAAATAATGAACATGCCCTTGACGACAGGAGCACAGCCCAATGTCGAGTCCAGATGCAGGTCGTACAGCAGTTGGAAATTCAAGTAAGTTTTTTGACTTCTTTTCTCTGTTTCATAACTACACTTCTGAAAGCTTCAAAGAAAGCATTGTTCCATTTTCACTGAAGCGGATGTACAACTTAAGTGCCTAATCACAGAGTCAAACTTTTTATTAATTTATTTTATTTTATGAGCGGAAAATGGCCACCATGTGGTCTGACTAATACCTCCAGACAAGCAGGACCTGCCGAATCCAACAAAGACACAAAACAAAAGAATCCCAAGCCTTACAACGAAAGCCATTATGGCTGTTTTAATTGAATTAAGCATGTGTGCTTTATTTTCTGCTTTCTTTTCCCCTCTTTCTTTCCAATTAATAGCAAGCGCATCTCACTCGGTCTGCTGTGTTAATTAACTGCACTTTGCACCTGAAGAAAGCTCAAAAGGAGGGAACTATTTTCAGTAGGTGGAGCGTGACCTTATTAAGAAGTCATGCTGGGTAGATAATGAGAGCGCTGATTGAGCGCCATTATTACTCAGCACTGCCGACACTCGCTCCTCTACCTTTAGAAACAAATAGACTGTATGTTTAAAGCAAGCAGGTGGAATTTTCATAATGAACAGTAGAAAAAGACCTCTGCTCATTGTTGGACTAAAACCCTTTACATTTGAAAGAAAGTTGCATGAGGAATTCATATATTCATGTCCATTGACTGTGAGTTGTAGTTCTTGTGTGCATTTAGGTTACCCCTCTTAAAGGTAATGAGCTAATAGTGTACTACAGGGAGCAGCTCAGAGCAGCATGCTGTTTAGTAAATCCTATTCTGTGATTTTGCTCCTGAAAACATTGCAGCTTGAAGCCTGCACTTACAGTGCGACCAATTACTGTGGTGCACTTGTGTTGTCTGTCTCTTTCCCTTTTTGCTCATTGCACTCCCTTCTTTGTCTTTTGTTTTTCCATGAGGCCGTCATAGTAATGAGGTCCATGCACACCTCAGAGCAGGGTCTGCAGCTTGCATGAGGGGAGTGGGGTGTGAGCCGTTCTCAGGGTCCAGTCCTTGTCAGTCCTCCTGAGTTAGATTGATGATAGGAGATGGTTGGGGCCACTAACTGGACCAGGGAGGCGGGGCGGCCCTGCACACTGTTTGGAAGACCCCTTCACCTTTCTGCAGCTGCTGGCTGATCTCCATCCCCCTAACTGTGTCCACAGGACTTTGAACAGACACTCAGGACCTCCTAATTTATGACCCAACTAGCTTGTTACTGTCAGGGATCCGCTGACCTAAATTCTGCTATTGACAAAAAGATGAAATGCTATTTGTTTTGCCTGACCTGTCGGCGCCCCCTTCCTATTTCCCTCTGGCTTCTCCAGTTCTCCTGACATCACCACAACTGGCCTGTGTCTGCTTCTCACTTGGCTTCACTCCAACTTTTTTTCTTCATTCCGCTGAAGCTTACTCAGAGATGTCAAAAGTACTAGTCTCAAGTACTCAAATAAAAGTACTGATACTTGCAAATAAAAACAACTCTGATAGAAGTAAACATATTGAAGGAGGTTCAATACAGTAGGATGACAACAATTTATTATTTATACCTAATTAAAAAAGTATGCACTATGATTAAACAGTAGAACCAAGATATATTGGGTCATTTCAAACTCTTTACAACTAATGTTTGAAATACTCTAAAAATAAAAAATGCTATCACAATTTACAGACAATAAATATTATCCATTAGTTATTGAACAAGGAGTCCATGTAGTAACTATGGTGACAAGCCTTTACAATGCTTGAGTAAAATACTTTATTGCCACCTCTGAGCTTGGTGCTATCACAGCTCCAACCATTTCCTAATTAGATCAATGACCAACGTTGACATTTCGGTACCTGCCAATATTTTGGTCAAAGTGTATTTGAATGATAGGACACTTGCATAATAATAATAATAATTATCGCATGGCGCCGTAAAGATGGCGCCGTGGCAAGAGCTCTGGTGTGTGTCGTCTGGTGCACACTGGGGTAGTCTTGCACAGTTTTTCCAATGTGGTTTTACTGAAAATGGCAAAGAAATGAATCTGAATCTGAATTCATTTGGATCAAATCAAATCAAATACAAGTCTGTTACCTGGCAGATCTATCCAATTGCTGTCAAGTTAGTATGGTTGGAGTGATTTTTGTCTCTTGTTATTTCAATCAATCAATCAATCAAAGTTTATTTGTAGAGCGCCTTTCATACACAGGGCAACACAAAGCGCTTCACAGTCCACATCACAAATCATCACATAAAACAAACACCAGAATCACAATTAAAACATTAAAATCACACAAAAGATTAAAACACAATTAAAACATTAAAATCACACAAAAGAATAAAACCATTAAAACTTTCAAAATTACACAAGAAATTTAAAAAAATAAATAAATGACAGCAGTGCATTAAAAATGGAGATAAAATCCTTCAGTTATATGCACAGGCAAACAGAACAGTCTTTAACCTGGATTTGAACATTGACAGAGTAGACGCCTCCCTCACATTTTCAGGGAGATTGTTCCAGATCTTAGCTGCATGGATCTGAAACGCAGCCTCCCCATGTTTGGTTCTCACTCTGGGCACCAGCAGGAGGCCAGTCCCTGTGCTCCTCAGAGTCCGGGCCGGTTCATATGACACCAACATGTCACTAATGTATTCTGGTGCAAGGCCATGGAGAGACTTGTACACAAGCAGAGCCGTTTTAAAATCTATTCTTTGAGCCACAGGAAGCCAGTGCAGAGACCTGAGGACCGGACTAATATGGTCATACTTCCTGGTTCCTGTCAGGACTCTAGCTGCTGCATTTTGGATGTACTGCAGCTGCTTACAGGTCTGTTTGGACAGACCTGTAAGCAGGCCATTGCAGTAGTCTAGCCTGCTGGAGACAAATGCATGGACAAGAATCTCCAAGTCTGCCCTGGACACTATATTTCTAACTTTGGCAATGTTCTTCAGATGGTAAAAAGCTGTTGATGTTATTGATTTTATGTGGCTATTGAAATTTAGGTCTGAGTCCAGTATTACCCCCAAATTTCTGACCTTGTCTGAAGGAAGTAGGGAGAGAGACTTTTATAAAATCAACCTATGCTTCAGACATTTAAACAAGGTTGTATTCTTCAAAAAAAATTTTTTTTGCACCAATAAATATCTACTAATTATTCATCTTCTTCATTCACTATAATTATCGGCCCAGAAAAAAAGCATATCGGTCGACCCCGGCTCATAATGTATTGTTGTGTGTCCCTCTTACTCTTTCTCACGTACTGCCTCGCCTCTCCCACTAATGCAGTCTTTCTTCTTATCTCACATCAGCTTTCAAAGGAACGTGACCGTCTTCAGGCAATGATGGCCCACTTGCACATGCGGCCCTCGGAACCAAAGTCCTCTCCCAAACCAGTGAGTGCATATTGCTCTGGCTCCAAGATAAAGAGGGGGGGGGGGGGGGGGGGGGGGAAATGAAGAGTTGAAGCTGCAGCAGTGGCAGGAGATGGAGGGAGAATGGGTTTTGTAATACCGAGTTACATGATACATCTTGTGAGTTATTTGGTGCTGTTAGGGGGGCAATAGTTTAGAAGTGTATTAGATGGCTGGGCTGTAAGTACTTGGCTCAAACGCTGGGTTATTTCTGCGTGATGGATATAATGACCAAAACAACCTGTTTGAGGCTGATAGCTGTTTGGCTCACAGCACTCAAAAGTAAATGACTGTGAAAAGTGTATGTCATTTTATCAACAAACACACAAAATTGCTCCCGAGTGTTGAAGACAGGGCAGTGTTGACATAAATATCTTCGGACTGGCTGAAAATTGTTCATGAAAAAATAATCCAAAATACAAAGAGGTCGTTGAAGTTGGACGGCCGATTTCCCGAGAGCGTCTCTTTCTCTAGTTTTTTACATTTGAATCGCATTCTTCCAAGCAACTCATTTTGGTAAACATTAGTCCTTCAATTTTAGATGTTTTTGAAATATTTGAGTTCAAATTACAGCTAGCATGTGTCTGGTGCTTAGTAAGTGCCTCCTTTCAATAGCATGATTTCTCTCATCATGGAATGTAGATAATCACAGATAGCATAATTATCCTATAATTCCATCAGGAATCAAACTCCCTTTTTTATTATTCAATCTTTCTCACTGCATTTCTCTCTTTAGTCTTTTTTTTAATCTTCAAAACTCAAGCAGCTTGGTTCCATCTCATCCAATAAAGAATTTGCTGCCTATAATCCAGGCTTGAATATGAATGAATGATGCTAATGAAGTATTGCATTACATAAAGCACACATGAAAGAGCAGCTAATTGCATTTGATGGTGGGGGCAATTCAGACTGAATCCTTAAACGCACAGTTAAAGCATTCAGTTTTAAGGCGGCCCCAGGATTTAAGAGAAAGCAAAATGCAAAAAAAAGATTGCAAGTGTATCATGGGTACAAGTGAAAAGGCAAAGACAAAAGGCAGTTTCAATTGCTCGTACGTCGCAGCATTTCCTGATATAGAAGCAGCCATTTGATAAATATAAAGGTCTCAATTTGTTACTCTGTCAGGGCGAGATATAACTCCTATTTTTTCCCCAACACTAGGCTAATGCGAGACACCACTGCTGCGCTGTCTCCAATATGACCCCATTTATTCTCCCAACCGCACTTCATTAAATGCTACCTTTTGGCCATGCTATGGATGGATGAGGATCAAAGTCAGCACTGCAGCACTCTCCGCAGCCTAGCGTCCACTTCGCTGACCAAACGTGGACTTGTGTACCAATGACTTAAATCAGAAAATGTGGCGGCTCATTTTGTCATTCTTCGATCCGATGGTGCCGTAACATAATAGTATTATGTAATCAGGCCCTGTCATGAAGAGTCACTAATTACATATACATTACTATGAATATAAGATAACTGTATGCAATTGTTATGAAGTCACCTGCTAGCTGTTTTTAATCATGTTTAAATATTCTGAAATCTAAAATAGAACTAGTCATGTATCTTTACTATTGCTTGAACTAAACTTTTATACATTATCTTCTCCGGTTTCCCCTATACCACTAAAAACATGCACAAAAGGTAAATCCTCCAGCTCTGGTAGTCCTGAGCATTAATATCTGGAGATGGGTTCCCGGGCGCTGTAATTATTTCTTGATAGAGGCCCATGTGGCAATCCAGGATGGGTCAAATGCAGAGGAGAAAGTTCCCTGAGGGGATAAATAAAGCGCACATGTAAATTTGTTTCAACAGAAAGTCTTATCATTTTTCCATGTCTAAGTCTCCTTGCACCTGCACCAATTTGATTTTAGCTCAAGCTACACATTGCACATATATTTTCACAAGTCTTCCTCAGATACACCTCACGTCCACCCAACAAAAGCTCTTTCTTCTAAATGCACTCAGCCATATTTACTTGTGCACCAGCTCATTACCTCCAAGTGGCCAGCTAATTACCATCTGCCCTGGACTGTCTCAAACTTGACATTTTGATTCTATTTATGAGTATACGGCACAAATGACCACTCAAAACTCCCTCGCTCCCAGTCTTTCATCTTGGGTTTAATTCAAACACCTGCAAGGGAATGCATTTCACAATTAGGCCAATTTGGTTTGAATATGTAACAATGTCATTACCATTTCAAAGTAAATTGGAGCGCAAACTAAAAGGTCACTTTCCAGTTGGTTAAATTAACTCATCTGGGAAAGTGGAGGAGAAACTGAACGATTAGCAAGTAGTTTAGACATGACATGAAGACACCATCCAATTGACTTCATCTCTATGTTAAAGCTGGGGTCCATAACTTTTTTTCTTCATAAAATGGGACACAGTTGTTTGTCCCCAATAGAAAGGCTCTGACTGCAACATGCTGTTTTCATCTTTCTAGAAAATATATGTATGTATGTACTTGTAAGAAAGAACCCTATGAGGCACTATGTGACGCGTTGGGCTCTCTTATTTACTTTTTGGATCTAAATATGTGACAGAGGCTAACAATACATGCAGGTGAAAACTACTGATAGAACTAAGCGTAGAACTAGTTATGTAGATTACATGACATAGCTATTTTTGTAGTAGTAGTTTGAAACAAGTTGGGTTTTAAACAAGCTTATGTCATCTGTGTGTACAATGTTAGATATTTAAAATCAAAACCACACAAGCACAATTTCTCAGTTGAAAACAACACACACTGATGTATGTGCATGTTTTGAAAATGGGCTGGATGAAGCAGACTTATACACTTCCAAACTTACCTGGCGCATTCGCAACAAGACGTCAAAAACAAAAACAGTGAAGTCACAAGATATGATCATTTTTGCTTATTGTGAAAGTGTATTGGCTTGTGCTGACAGGGTGAGTTTGCTAGTGTGAGTCTTCAGATATTGCCCAAACGAAGGTGGGCTAAATTTGTTGACTGTGTGGTTGAGTAACAGTCGCCGACCAGCTGACATCCACAGTAAACAAGACTTTTCTCGACTCATCGCTCGAGTGGAGGATTATGGCTGTGTGGAGTAGAGCCAGAGGGGGGGCAGCTCTGGGCTAGTGATAAATAGAGAGATAAAGAGAGATGGGGCTGGGATAACATGCCGGCTGATCGTTGGATAATCTCGAACAGCGTGCTCTAATTAGAATTCTTATGATACAATTTGGTGGTTGTAATTAGTGGCAATGGGCTGGCTCCTCTCCACAACCCTTGTTAGTGGAAACACAGCTGTGCTAGTGCAGCGCACACACTCAGCCCTGTCAGAGAAGCCCCACATAACTCTCCCTCGTTTCTCCACAGCTAAACTTGGTGTCCAGTGTCACCATGTCAAAGAACCTGCCCTCGGCGTCACCCCCTAACTTACCTCAGACGCCCACCACGCCCACAGCACCCATCACGCCCATGGCAGCCATGCCACAGGTGCCCTCGGTGCTGGGAGGGGCCAACGTGCCCAGTATGGGAGCTATGCGCCGCCGCCACGCAGACAAATACTCCATGTCTCTGTCGTCAGGTAGGACCAACTACTCAGCACGCCATCTGCACACGCAAACATGAACAGATGGGCATTTGTTTGGACATAAGCATAGACTGTATATTTGGACGGGACTGACCGAGAACTAATGTCACCCATAGTGTTTACCGGATACAGAAGAAGGTGATTCATTTCCTTGTATGGGCATTTGTTCCAATGGAGTTAGCTTTGCCTGGTAACAGGGCAGATACAAACTAATGTGTTGCAAACATGGTTGCTAAGATAAGATGGAGTTTCTCCCGTAAATTAAGGCATATGACTATTAGTCAATCCACATATCTGGATTAACAAAGATAAGATCACAATAAATATCCCATGATAAGAAAAAAATGCTGACTGTTACTGAGCTAGGTGTTAATTTTTCAGTCCAAAGGAACCAGAACATGTTGGAGCAAAACTTTGCTCATGAGCGTTTCCCTGTTTGGCCTCATTAAGCTAGCGGGTTAGCATTGTCCATCTATACACAGTCTATGTTTATGACAAACAACTGCCCTTAGAACTCAAACATCTCTCATTTTAGTATTTGAATGGTGGTAGTTTCTTTTAAATTAAAGTGCAGATTATCTTTAATATAGAGCTTAAAATGTGCTGACCGTGAAATTTCCATCAAATTGAATGTTCAAATACAAACTTGTTGAATATGCAAATGAGCTGCATTCACCCTGGGCACTGTACTATAAATATTGCACATCCGATAATAGCTTTAATTGATTTGGAGCACACAAACATGGCAGCGCATGCATCAGTAAAACATGCTGATGCAGCCACTCTCAGGCCCAGCCTTGAGTTTGTCGAACACTGAGAGATGTCTGGGTTTATAAAAGCATGTCTATGTTTAATCACTCTATATGTAAATACACAAGGCCTTCCTCTGTGCATAAATATTACATGGATGTTAATTAAGTTCAAATAATAGTTAAAAATGCAATATTTATAACATAAAGGCGTGTATTAGACTTTGCATTTTAAACGGCCAGTCTTTGATGTTTTTATTTACTCGCAGTGTGTTTAGCGTGAAGATGCATAAATTATTCAAGTTCAGCCTAACTAACTACATGGATCTCATTTTATGGATGTATTAGTGTTTAAGATCTCTCGTGAGAGACATTAATTAAAAATGCATTTTGTTAGACATGGAAAATGTTGATTTGATGTGCCCTTTTCCCCACCCCTCTGCCCCCTCTGTTTCAATCCCCCCCCCCCCCCCCTTCTTATTTGATGAAACCTTGAGCCATTTCTATACCTGAAGGAATAAAATTTACCAATTATTTCAGGTGGTGACACAGTATTTATTTTTCCAGAGATTGCCCCAAACTACGAGTTTTATAAGAACGCAGATGTCAGACCGCCATTTACTTATGCAACCCTCATAAGACAGGTGAGTGGGAAATAAATTAACTTTGCCTGATTAGATTAAAATTAATTGCTGCATGAATCATGGCAGCTCTCTCTCGTGCTGCTTGGTCCATTTGTGTGTGTGTGCTGGTGATGTCGTCTCGTTAGTAAACCATTATTTGATGTCATCTCATTTCAGGCTATCATGGACTCTGCCGACATGCAGCTAACGCTTAATGAAATCTACAGCTGGTTCACGCGCACGTTCGCTTACTTCAGACGCAATGCTGCGACCTGGAAGGTAACCTTCACCTCAGCGTCACTACACTGCCCTGACTGACAGGCCACATACAAGAGCACTACACAATCATTCAAGACTATCTAAAGCATGTGATGTCACCAAGAGGTCACCAGACAGAGAATGAGAAAAGATAGTAAAGGAGACAAATTGACTTTTAAGAGCGTTTTAATCATGTTAAAACAACTCATTCACGCACTCATGATTTTATTTAGAATGATGCATGCATGTTTGACTATTCTTTCTTCTCCGTTTTTGTCGCCATTGTGACATGGCCTCTCTGTACTTACATCCAATTCGTTGATGCCATGTAGGCATTTTGGCACTGATGAAAAAAATACATGATCTGCTTTCATTTCAATTGGATTTTCAGAAATCATCTAATAAATCAGCTGAATTCTTTGTTTAAAGTTTTTAGAAAGATCCAAAGATAATTGGTATTGAACCCCAAAAGAATCTTGATAAGGGCCAAAAAATAATGCATTTGATCAGATCAGTATCTTCTCTTTTGGATCATTGTGGTCATGTAGATTTAAGATGTGTAATACATTTCTATTCCCTCTTGTACATGTTTTACTACTACAAGCCCCATATTTGAAAGGCATTAGATAGTAAAAAAAAATTAGAAGAACCGCATTTGAACACAAAAGCTGGAGCAGAGTTTGACAGAATACATTCACTCGTTATCTTAACCCATGCGCACAGATATCTGATATTAACATGTCCTCTCCCCTTCTTTAACCTCTCAGGGTAATAGAGACCATTCTTCCCGTTATTTATTTTTCCACCATTACGCCTTTTCTGTTTGGAAATGACAGCCCAAAGAATTATTCAGCCTCAGATATCGTTTTCTAATTTAGTGCAATTAATAGCAGGGGCTTGGCGTGGAGAGGAGAGGGCTCTGACGCACTAATTATACAGCAGCCACTCCATCATCAGCACCTTTTGTTAAGAGAGAAAGACACCCCTCCTCCTGCTCCCATAAACCACCTTCCCTCGCATATCATTGGTTAATTAGGAAGAAAGATGGCGGCATGAATGTTAACCAGCTCCGCGCCACGTCAACAGTGTAGAATCCCAGCCCGCGCACACACAAGCGCTGTACGCAGAGACAGAGGTCAAGGGGGGTGGTCACATGGAACCAAAGACGAAAGGAAGTGAGAATTGTTCTGTCGTGGAAAAGACTCGCTTTATTTACCCGCACAAAAGGGCCCATTTGTAAATCTGTCCGTGCAACTTTATTGTCCTGTCGGCGCGCACAAAGATGTTAAAAATGCGTTGTCCCCCACGCACGTCTCAAGGCTGCGCGCGTGTGCTGATAAAGAGAGTCCCCACTCATTGCGCTGCTCTTTCTGTTTCATGCTATGGCCTCTGCGCGTCGTTTGTTAGCGCCTTTAGCCTTTGTGCGAATGTCGCAGCCTCTCATCTGCATGTGAGCCACGGCGCAGCACTAGATTTAGCAAAGTGAATTAATTTGGATTTGGGATGCAAATGAGTGCATGGGTGTGTGATCACTGATTCAGAAGAGTAAGTAAAAAAAATCTGGTGCCCTTTTCCAGTTTGTTAGGTACAGTGTATATTTAGACAAAACGGGATCTCCCCAGGTTTACTGCAGTGGGTGCATTTATAGAAACAACAGCAGATAATTAGACAAAGTATCGTTTATGACTGACGAAAAGTTGATGTCGCTTCCGCAATAGAAAGTCTACCTCCCCGCACAGTAGCTAAGGTAATCTATTTACATCTGTGACTGCTCTATATTCTTTGTCAGCATTAGCCGGATGATCAGTGATGGACTTGTCATTCGATTAACACTGGGAATCTGTCTGAAAAAGAAGCGAATGAAAGGTAGTTTAATATCTAGGCTTGCGGTCTCAACAACTGAAAAGAGGGATCTACCCCCGCCCCACATCTCCTCTTTCTCTCTCCAGAAGCGTATTACTTCTAACTATATAGCATGCATAATAAAACTGCTCATTTGCTCATTAATATTAAAATTATCATATTCAGAGCCATGGGCATTAAGATCAATCAAATCCTGGGATTTTCAGGTCAGATGCGAGATCTGCTTATGAGTTTTTTTCTTTTATTCTGAATCCCCTTTTCTCTGGGCAGAGCAGTGCACATGCAGATGATAAATATGGACAGCAGCTTTATTAAAGCTGAGCTTATTATTTGTGGGGTTTAATGCATGCTTTAATTACGAACAGGCAGTCATATTGAAATACAACGTCTGTCATAGACATATTAGATATTTGTTCTATGTTTTGTTTTAGGAATATAATTAAGTTGTAAGTTAAAACATAATTGTCTCATCATGAAGAGCAGAGCCACTGTAAAAGAGCATATTTGGACATGGCAGTGTCAGATTGAGTTCAGACTAATCCTGGATGTAACGAGCCCTGTGCACGTGCCCTCACACTCCTGATGACTGTCTTTAGTCTTGCTCTGCTGTCATCTTTACAGCTATATGTCCATTAAGAGCAATGCTTTTGTGAAGCAGAAAGGGTTACTGACATCACCATTATCAAGGCCAGCATTACCACTTCTGTCACCACCATAAGCCATTCGCTATGCTGATTACCTCCTTTTAGCCTACTTACTCTGATTGATATGTACTGTGCAGGACTTGTAAGAGCATTCGCTCTCACTCAATTTTTACTAATTAAATCAATGGTGCGTGAATGTTGAGAAAATCTTCAAAATGCAAGAAAAAATCAATTTCCTAGGCCCTTTTAGTGATGTTAATGAATCCAAGTGATTCATTTTAGCCCCTGCTCTGACCTGTCTGCCCTGTGCTTGCAGAACGCTGTTCGCCACAACCTGAGTCTGCACAAGTGCTTTGTGCGTGTGGAGAACGTGAAGGGCGCCGTGTGGACTGTGGACGAGATGGAGTATCAGAAACGCAGGTCACAGAAGATCACAGGGTAAATGCTCTACACAAGAAGCACCTTTTCACACACACTTAGTGAACATACAATAGATTTAATGTGTTTATTGTGCACTGCTTTCCATAAAATACAAAAACATCAATATTTAATGTACATCCGTATATGAATGTCAGACTTTCCGTGCTGCATACACCTACAGTACTCCTTTGGGAAAACTATGACAACAACAACACACAATCCTCATGTACCGTACAGTCGCAAACATGTGCCCTGATTTATTATGCCACCTTCAGACATAATGCATGCTGTGTACATTCTGCACACTGTAAACATTTACTTAACCTTGTCGCACAATAATGTACACTTTGAACACTCTGAACTCATTTTCCGCCTTTCGCATTTGCTGTTTGTTTAGGAGCCCCTCACTTGTCAAGAACCTGCCCTCCAGTCTCGGCTATGGAACTGCACTAAACGCCAGCTTACAGGTATGTCCGCTGTTGTCCGTGTGTACTCTGGACTTTCTTTCTCTTTTCCACTCTTATCTCCTCACACCTCTCCCATATTCAGACTCACTGGCCCCCCTGTGGTCGAGAAGGGAACCGGCTGGCCCACACGGTTCACCATTCTCCTCTTCTTGTTGCAGTGGACCCTCCTAGATTGATAGCGGCATGTGCAAATGCAAGGGCATGTGCATTAATATTTATCCAAGCTGTCATAAATGATTTGGCTTCATAGTGTACGCCAACGAGGTGCTCATGGCAAAAACTTTAAAAATTTAATCAAAGAATATAACTTTAATGCGCAGCAGGCGAAAGTGTCAGGAGTTTTTTATTATTTTGAGGTAAAGTTTTGGGGTGGGGACTTTTTCTAATAGCCACTGCACCAGAGGGTGTCTGAATGGCACCTGGGGGAGGCAAGTTGTCAGCGGAACGTCTTAGGTGAAATATTCGCTTGCAACAGTAAACAGGACTGAGATAGGAGTGTTTTAATAATGACCTTGTTAAATATTTGACTAATCTTCAACATTTTTCGACACCTGCATCTCTTTGTTTAGTCTTATCCTACATTATTAGCTGCGGACATCACATCCGTCCTGACTTTTTGTGTAGAGAGGACGTATGCCAAATTGGCTTTTAAGAACTTTTCACCATGTAATCATTTTTCCTTCTGTTTACTAACTCAAAGTTAGATTCAGAGCGTTATGTGTATGTTTGAGTCATCTTAATTCTGTCACATACCAATCGTTTTTATTGCCTCTAGAAAATGCTCATTGGATTCAAATGTACTCTATGTAAGATCTTAAGTGTTGTCACAGAATTGACAGATTTGCCAGAGCAGATTATAAAAACAAGCAATTAGAACGCATAAGAAATAAAAAAGCAATACACATAAAAGTCATTGGAAACTGGTTAACCAATGTGACTGAACATACCCTGTTCTTGGACCCTCCTGCAAAGGCAAGGATCATTCAAAAAGTAAGTGTCAGAAAACCCATGAACGGACGAGCTATAGATCCAGGACTGAGTTCAAGTCGCCCAAGGTAGAGCCAAGTTTGGTAATAATGGCTTAAAAGTCAATTTTCGAATATGTTTTTTGAGATGTGAGCCAATTATCAACATTATAACAAATAAAGGCTTGATATATTTCACTCTGCGTGTAATGAACTGAAACTATTTGTTTCACATTGTTACAGGAGGTTTTGCCTGTAAATATTCAGCCGGCTAAAGCACAATATGTCTTCTTTAATAAAAAAATGCATCTCTCTGTGCACAATCTCACAGCCCTCGCTTGTCCCACTCTAACACTGATACTGTCCCGTTGCAGGCGGCGCTGGCAGAGACCACCCTCCCATTGCTTGGTAACCCTGCTCTGATGAACAGCTCCACGGGGCCCATGGGCTGTCACGGGCTTCTGGGGGGAGACCCGTCTGTCCTAGCCGGTAGCCCCCCTGGCCTCCTCGGGGGCAGTCCTCCCGGTATGTTAGGAGGGAGCCCGCCTGGTACTCTGAGAGGAAGCCCCCCCTCCTTGCTGCAGGCCGCCCACGACGAGTACAACGGGACACTGGACCATCTCGACACGAATGGACACTCCAGCCCTGGCTACTCCCCATCTGTACACATGTGAGTCTATACGTGCTGTAGAAATATATCACAAATGAGTCCAATAAGTTACGTTTAAACCATCTACTCAAAGTGCTAAGAGTACCAGACCAATACACTTTTATTACTACATCTAAAATAGCCCATAGTTACAAGCAAGACACTACTATCTTTCAAATAATCTCGAGGAGAGAGATTACTTCAACTTCATACATACAGGTCAAACTTGTAAAACTGTAATATTGTTCAAAAGTTCATTTACTTCTGTCGTACAACTTGGATCGTGACATGATAGTTTTCAAGCCTAGAATAGTGTTATTTTAAAGCAAAGCCTTAATAGTTTTAAAACCAAGTAGTATAGAAGTTATTCCTGCTGTCATAATGATCAAGATATTGTATGTGCACCAATGCTTTCAAATCAGCAGAATAGGCCTTTTACACACTTTATTCTGATATTATTACTATTCTCTTCTGACAAGCCTACTAAACAGGCAGTCCACGGCTCTTTCCTCTTTTTTTGAACACATATTTGAACAGACCTTTTGCTCTTCACTCACTTCGGATCCGTCGGCGGTACCATCTCTTACTCCACGTCTTTTATGAGCCCTTCTTTCGACAGACAATCCCCTCCGCCCCTACGCACTACCCACTTACCATCCCTGTGCCCTTTGTTAGTTTAATTGCCTGATATTTAACCCACAGTAGCCGTATTTTCTTGGGTTTTGCGAGGACCTGAGGGCAAGGTTCAATTTACAGCTTGTCTCTGGTTCCTTTGCACTCGAGGTGATCCTTACGTTTTGGATCGCGCTTTACTCTGGTCTATAAATAGTCCAGATCGCACATTCTTCTTTAATTACACCCTTGTATGCATTACAGGGCTTTAGCTGTGATATTTTATGCAGGGCCCTTGCTATTAATATTTAGCAGCAGTCGCATTAATTACCTTTAAAATCTCTTCCGCTCTCTTGCCATCGCTTTGGTATTGCCATTGTGAGGAAAAACAAGAGCCAGACAACTGGGCCACACTCAAGCCCTGACACCCATTTACTGAGACAAACACTTTGAAATTACGCATTTATGACGCGTTCCGGGCGTCGTCCGTAAAGCGCATGTTCACAAAGCGCCGAGAAGATGGAGAAAGGATGCACCTCTGTCTCCGCGTGAGAGCAAAGTAGTGTTTATAGCAACGCTGTACATTCGGACGTGTTTACTGGGGAGTTAAGTGAAGAAAATCCGCGTGTTGCCACTCCCAGAAGTCATTTAAACTTTTAGTACGCGCCTACCCCCGCTATTCATTTGGTCTGGATATCTTTGACATCGACATGACTGGTGGAGTAACGCGATGCGCTCCACCAACCCCACCGGCGCGTCCTCGTACACAGCCACGACAACCTCAAAATGGAAGAAATGTGTTTTCCATGACCGGAGATGGTTTTTGAATAATGGATCGGCTTGTAGCACTAAACTAAATAGCACATCACCTTGAAGGCCTTTCTCGAGAGAGAGGCGGCGTGTCGGCATAAGCAAGTAAATCCGAGCAATTAGGCGGCGCGTTCTGGTTGGGTTTGCCTTCCAGTGCAAAGGTTAATATTATCTGCTCAAGCCCAAACCAGATTGCCCCGGGCCATGCTAGGCAGCGTGTTTACATGTCGGAGCCTTAGGGGTACACTTCAAACCCAAATGCGCTTTTATGCAGGGAAAGTGAATTAAGCTGTATTTTAAAGCTTTTACAGTAGAGTGGTGTGTTTCATATATTATTGAAAAATATGTTTGATTACACCCCAGCGCTGTCAACACCAGGGCTGGATAGCTTTTAGAGTTTGACACTATGATACATACTTAGATATAGGGCAATTTTATATGATACCTTTTCCAAGAAATGTGATACTATTTAGTATTGAGTAAAAAATAAAGGGTTTTTGGCCCCACACCTATAGCTCAGCCCAATTTGACCAAAAACACAGCATTATTTAATCATGTATCTCATCTATTGAAGATCATATTTCATAGGTAAAATATAACATATTATTTTTAAACATGCTGCAACCATCAGATGGTGGAAATACTGAGATGATTGTTATCTGCTTTGTAATCCCAAAGTCCACTCAGACCTCCATTGGATAAAGCAAATAAAGACTAGGTTTTGTTATTTACTTCAAACCTTCACACATTTCCACATAAACAAAACAGACAAAATTACCTTATATATAGATAGATAGATAGTTGATCCCCCGTAGGAGAAATCCAGGTGTCCAGTAGAATCACATCCATCCACACAAACAAAACAAATAAATAGATCATTCTAAAAAATATATACATCTATATTTATATACATCTACTTCGAGAATAGTATTTGTATAGCACATTAAATGCAAGAAAACTGTATATCTCGGCAGCGATCTTCTTTGATCGCACCTGGATCTCTTCAGCTCCCACTTCTCGCCCCCCTCCTCCATGCAGCCAAGCACCCACCCGCCCAGTGCACCTTTCGAGCCCACCAACCATCCACCATTCCACCCACGGACTAATGACCTTATTTGCATCGCTGGCATACCTCTGCATTATTGCCAGTGCTAATCCTCGATTGATGTGAGCGCGCTGATCTCCACACACACACACACAAACAGGCGCATACACACTCACATACACACACCAAGATGGTATTTATTACAGCGCAAAGTCCAGCCTTTTACTCCTGAGTGACTCAATAATGGCAGCTGGCTATTAAGCACTAAATGGCTCATCCACATATCTTCAATAAAGTGTCGGGCGAATGTGGCGCTGCATATTTCTCTTCAAAGCCTCACAAACACCTAATGAGCTGCGCACAAGACCTCTTGCGCGTGGATGTGTCACACAGGCAGCACGCGCCATTTATCAGGAAGAATCATCGGACAGCCATCACTGGTGTTCATTTTGACCAGTGGTTAAAGACGTAACGTTAAGTCCAAGCATCACCGCAATCTGATAAGTGATCCATATGTATCATGTAGGACCGCTGGAATCAATATGCAATTTGTTGGTTGTTTAAGCCTTATTCTTTCATCAAGAAAACACAAATATTACACAAAAATAATATTGTTTTAATCCAACATCAATTGCAAGTTACATGAATGTATTAGCAGAACGTGTGGGTTGCCAGTTTGTTAGGTGAAATGTCCTCTGGTTTTGGCTCTTATCTTTTTTATATGTTACCTCCTCAAGCAAAAAAAAAAAATCACGATTCATAATTAAATATACAGATACAAAATAAAGCAGGTATCCGTAACACACAGAGTTTCTAGCTAACTCACAGCAGGTGGTTTGCATCAGTAGTCCGTGTTTAGGAGCTACTGTACATGTGTCACAGGCAGGTTAGACTATGGCATAAAGTCTGACTTTATTAGACCCTGTAGAGTGCACAATACATACGGTCCATTTTTAGAATATGGACAGTTCCTAATTTGTCCCATGTGGGAAAATTCAAGTTTCCATCAATAGCTTTTACAGACATATCCTAAATAGCAAGAAACATTCAATTAATCTAAAACATGTAACCCCAGAGTAAACATGTTACAGCTTGTGATTAGTACTAAGTTATGAGAAATTATGTGACCAATTACTTTGAACTCAAAACTATAAGATAATACTGTATTTATATTATTTTTAATTCAAAATTATGTATTATTTCCCTATCAATATCCTAATTCACCAAAGCCCTGTCTTTTTGAAGCAGCAGATCAGAAGCAATCTTTACTCCTTTGATTATTTTTTTCCAGGGTCAATCTATAGTCAAAAATAAATAAAAATATCTTTGCACCTACTGCTTCTTTAGATTTGTTGTACACGCCAGTATTATTTCAGAATTTACGGCTGTGAATATTAAAGTCATATTCACATGTTGTAAAATTGTTTTCCGATTCAAATCCGCCTCCTCCTCCCTTTGCTGCGGCGACGAGGCGCGTCCGCACACACACCGCCACGTGCCCTTCTCGCCCCATTCAAAGTCCGAGGGGATTTTCTGATGCATCCGACGTGTCAGAAATAATTAGGTTTTGTCAGATTTATCATCGTGGCGCAAACCCCTCTCGTGACTGGGGCCTGGGATCATGGTGCGCACTGTTTGTATGTGACAGTCTTATTATTCTTGTTAGTGATCCAACAGCACTTTTTCCGCCCACTCCTGTGTTGTGGTGAAAGGCGCAGACGTCCGGGGCACCGCGGTTCAGCTTCGGCCCGCTGCTTATTGACAGTGGCTAAAGATATTCATCCATTTGGAGTTAAAAACATGTATCATGGTGTCCGAGCGAACTGCCGCGGCTGAAGTTGATTAATGGCAGAACCTAGCTGCCGGTTTTTCCTCTTGAGGAGCGACATGCACAGCCCCTGCATATTAACGAGTGGCTGTGCTTTCTATTAACTAGATAAAAAAGCCTCTCTTCTGCCTTTGCTCCGGGGGGATCAGGGATGAGAAATTCTCCATTATTTATCATGTGGCCTGTTTTTCCCCCCCTTTTTTTCTTTTTCATGTATTTCAACCTGGTGTCATCAGTAAACTTTTTTAAATGCCAAACATGTCTGGAACATCACAGCTTATCGGCTTTACAGGGGCTGTTTTTCATGCAATTTTTATGCACTTACTTACAGTAGACATGAGGCATCATGTTGAATTAGTGTCTGCCAAACAACATGCTTGTTATTTGGGGATAGATAATGCATGTAATGGCTGGTAGAGCATTCTTTACAGGCGAGATAGATACTAATACAAAAACATACTGTACAAAGAGACAGCATTGTATTGAAAGAAGACATTGTGTTTCTTCCAGGTTTATAGTTACACTCTGTTATTTTAGCCTACAAACAGAGTGTTAAAGATAGCAATTGGCATTGGAAATATAAAAAAACATTCCCACTACATATCATAACAATTGTTTTTAGAAAGTAAATTAAGAATTGCCCTTAAATGAGTAAATAAAACATTAAATCTGTTGATATTGAGCCTGTTGGAGATATTCTGTTCAGCATAATAGTGTTATAAAACCATAATTTCTGAAAATACACCTAACCCTAACCCTTTACATTATTTATGTTGATGTGGAATGACACTTTCAATACCACTGTTTAAACTTGACATTCATACATCTAAACATGCCTGTTGTGCTTCTTACAGGCCTCCGATCCACGTGAAAGAGGAGCCCCTCAACATGGACGATGAAGACTGTCCGATGTCACTGGTGACGACAGCCAATCACAGTCCAGAGCTAGACGAGGAGCGCGACCTGGAGGAGGGGAACTTATCGGAGGAGGGCAGGACCTGGAGTGACTAGAACCCAGTGTGTGGTGTCCCTCCATTGACCGCACGCTCCTCACAGACCTCCTCGAACCACCCCACACCCACAGACTCGCACCACTCGGACTATTTATTGCGCATGCACCCGGACGGAGACTCCAGAGGAACTGTCCCACAGCCCTTTGGACGTCCCAAACAGGCATCAAATGTCTGCTAAAGTGACTCTGTGATAGAGATGGCGTGGCCACACAGGATGACGATGGACTCATGAGCAGGGGAAACACAAATGAACAAAACATGTTGAGCTGAAAGCTATAGCGGCCTCATATACTGCCAAAAAGGAAGACCTTTTATGTTTGTGAATAATCCAACCCACAGTAGTTGTTCATGTCTAGAGACAATTGCTGGTTCAATTCAAGTTGTTGCTCTGTTTTCATTTGCACAGGAGTAGTCTCAGAAATATGTTTCACTGCCTGTATGTTGCTATTATAAAACAGTATTATTATGTTCCGCTTTTTAATTATGATTTCCAGATACTTTTCAGCACCACCAATGTAAATGCCATTCCCCAAGCACAGAACAGCGGGACCAAGACTGTTTTTGCAGCCGTCCAAAAAAAGACACAGAAAAAAATCAACAAAAAGGGTTAGCTTCAAGTCGTGATCGATTTTAGACAAAAGTCAAGAGTGTGGGGGGGGGGGGGGGGGGGGTCGAAAAATATAATGTTCAAGAAAACATTTACAAAACAAATGCATTTCTCGCTGTTCTTCTTATACCTCCTTTATTCGAAAGCTTTGTCTACCTGCAAACAGTCACAGGCAACAGCTACAAACCAAAGCCAACACTAGCAATGGCCAATAGCTTACCGACAGAAGCCACCAAACTGGTCCGTCTTCTGTGACTTTAAACGAGTGCAAAGAAGAAGAAGAAGCTTTTGTTCCGCTAACTACCTTTGAGAAACCTCTGGGATTGTTTTGTTTAGCCCTATATAGACAAAGACAAAGACAGAGGTACCATTTTGATGTGTAATTTGACTTGTCCACTTGGAAGACTTTGGAGGTTTTTCTGCCAGATGTACTGTAGGTTAAGAAAGTGATGTGACTTTTGATTAGACTGGTAGAACGCAGCTATAAAAAGTGGATTATGACCAAAACAAAACATATGTGTATTCAATGGAAGTGCAGAATCATTGTGTAGTTGTGTGTGCTTTACTTTTCCACACATTCACATTTTTTGTTCACTTTTTTTTTCCTTTTAATTTTTGTGTTCTGTTTCTGATGTAAAGTGGGACGTTTTATGTTCTGAGCCGCATTGTAGAAAACCTAAAAACACCACTAACCAAACGTTTAAAACAAAAAACAAAAAAATCTAGCAAAGCCAAATAAGTCAGGATTTCAAGCTGAGGCGATGTGGGTTGGTTACAGTGTCAAAGCAATTAATTATAGCCATGCAGACGGGGATCTCGAAGGTCAATTGTCGCCTATTTCCGAGGTGATATTTGCTTTAAATTCATCTTATTCTCATTACATCCGCTCACGCTAGAACAAAGCCCACTATGTCTGTATAGGAACTGCTTTTAAACACAGGAGACTACAGAGAGAGAGAGAGAGAGAGAGGCGTCTGTCTTGGCATTCCCACTCATCCACAAAAAAAATGTTGCTTTAAATGGTCTGTTCTGTTTTCAGTAAAAACCAAAGTTACACAAAATTCTGCCTCCTCTTGGATGGGATAAGTTGATATAACATGAAAAATGCGTGTACTGGTGCACAAAGCAACAAATTTAACTTAAGCAAAGAAAACGGTGATCGGACCAAAAATGAAAAGCTGTTGCTTGAGCCAAAAGAACTGGCTTTAAGGAGACAGTAAAGGCCTCATTCATCGATCCCCAGAGCTGAACTTTGGCTGCACTTTCCCTGGTTTAGTTCTATACTACAAGATGTGCAAGATAAATATGTTTGCCGCAATTTCCGTTACCTACACAGACACACAAAATAGATAATATAGATACTTTACCACAACAGTAAAAACCCTATGGAACAAAAAGTCTAAAACCAGATCAATCAAAAGGCAAAAGTTGCACCAGATTTGGCCAAATTTGGAAGAAATTACAAATCTGAGAAGCAATACCTCTTTTCTGCCTTCAGTTCTTGTACAAAAACTTTATTTAAATTGAGCCAACGCTAGGGAAATGAGGCCCTAAAAGCACCAAGGCACCACGCTGCAATGGCTAAAGGTTTTATTAATGTGTCCAAAATGTTCTAGACTTGTACTGCTTTTAATTTATTTGTGTATATTGTTGCTTTGAGGCTTTACTGTCAGACACTCCTCCAAGTTTTGGTCCATCTACATGTTGAGTGAATGTTGCAGGTCACGCCTGTTGAACGTCACTGTATATTTCAGGTTTTTGACCAATGACATCACCATGTGTTGGACCCCTCAAAAAGTTGTACAGTGCAACTTTTAATGCTTTAAGGGATGTTTTCCCCTTAGTTAAAAACAGGCTTTAAAACTTCATTCTCTTTGACAAATTACTTTACAGTTCATGTTATGTATTGTGATGTTATGTTTGTAGTGCTTTCCTGGACCAGACTCAATATATTCGATTTCTCTCTGCTTCTTTCCAGTGGAGACTTGCCATGCATTAAAAATATAACACATGTTCACACTTTTTGGTCTGGTTCACTTGAACTGTAACCTATTCTGGTTCACTTGGGGAGGAAAATGCTTTATTAGTTGACCACCAACAAGTGACCATATGTATAGTCACTTAAGTCAGTTTACATATTTAGAAACAGATCTGTGAAGCGTTGTCCCCCGATCGAACCAGCCTGAGCCAAGTCAAAGTCAACAAGACCAGTGTGAACGTGTCCTAAGACTTTTGCACAGCCCAACTCAGAAGACTTATCCCATCCAAACTTAGCTGCAGAACAACTTGAAGACCACGTTCTTAATAAACTTACCACACCAAATAAAAAGAACGTTGCGTCTTCGGACAAACAAAAATACCACTCTCCCAAAAATGGCTTCTACCTCTGCACCAAACCAATTCAGAAAAATGACCACAGATTGCACGTGTTGATTTTCACTCAAGAGCTGTTGACGTTTATACTACTTCTTACTACTTCCACTACTACTACTACTACTACTACTACACTTGTCTCATAAAAATAGTTTACATTCCCGGGAAGATCTGAATTGTCTAAGGGTTGTCCTCAAAAACATTTGTAGAGCGATAATGTATAGAGTAACCTGTAAGGGAATATTGTGTTTTTTTAAAATGCATGTGAAAACTCATTTGGTGGACTGGGAACACAAATAATGAAAGAGCTTCATATTAAAAACATTTCGGGACGTCGGCCTACATGTGCGTACAATGCATCGGAGTACCTCAGAAAAACTGCTATAGGGAGGGATACAACCTGTCAGCCACAGAATGCATTATACCTGTAGATTTGCATGGGTTTTGTATAAATTAAGTAAAAAAAATGTCTAAAATAGTTGCTTGCACATAATACCAGAAAGACCTCCAGAACTGCGATCTGCTCCTCCACTAGATTTTAGGATTGTGTGGATTTTCTGGATTTTGTCTGTATTTTGATAACTGTGCATACTTATGTAAAAATGTTGGTGGACCCATAAAATTTACCAGACTTTTTTCTAAGAGGGAAAAAAATATCTGTGTTTCTTTTCTGATGAATTTTTACTGTTTTCTCTCATTGCTCGCTAAGAATAGCAAACCTGCTTTTTCTGCATCTGCTTTGCGTAGCTGTAAGGCTTAACCTAATGTGTGTATTTATTGCTTGTACCTCTGTGCATACTTTATCAAGCATTATGTCTGGCAGTTGAGTCATGTATCCTTTCTACTGCTATCCTTCTCGAATTATTGGGAATATGACCCCCATTTTGTATACAGTAAATTGGGACTGTAGCAGAAATATGTTTATGTAATTGGTGAATACTTTATTTCAATTTTGTTTCTTTTTTTTTTTTTTTTTTGAGATACATTCTTTTGATACTCTTCATTACTGTGTACTGTGTCCATAAGGTTCTCAGACATTAGAAGGTCATGGTTGAGAATTGTAAAAGGCGATATTATTTTCTGTATCCATGGCATTTCACTGCTGAATAAAATAAAGGACCAAAACTTGGAAATTTGAAAAATAACAGTGTGCCTCTTGCATCCTTTCCACACTTGGTATCTCTCTGAAAATAAATATGTGTCTAGTTTGATTGGAAGACTAGATGGCATCTTGGTTTGGGCGGCAGAGTGGTTATTAATCTCACTTCTCAGCAAAAGGGTTCTGTTTGGTTCCAAAACAGGACCTCTCTGAGAAGTGTTTTCATGTCCTCCCTTCATATACGTAGGTTTCCAGAACCTCCACTAGATCAAAGAACCAGACCCCCGCAGCCACAGCAGACCCCAGCTCCCAGTGCAGAGGGCTCCTCCAGAGGAAACACTGGGGATACTAAAACAATACAATAGATAGAAAACATTAATATGTGACACTAAAAAGAAAATGACAGCTACCTAAGATTAATAATAACAATAGTAAATGGGCAGATAAAATAAAAAACCGAAATAAAATGTGTCTAAAAACATAAATACATTTACTAAAATGCAATAATAAACAATACATACTAATCAAAAGCTAATATAAAGAGGTGTGTCTTGAGCCTGCTTTTAAAAATATGAACGTTCTTTTGGTCAGTGCATTGTACTTAATTGAATGTACAGTAGGATGGCTTCAATAGAAATAAAATCTTCAAAGATAATTTAACGTTAAAATAGCTTTGCGTTTCGGCTCAGCTTCCGCTTTACCCAAACAGTCAGATACAGCGCTTCACACATTGCATACCGCACCAGTGCATGTTGGAACCAACAGGACAACATCGTCTGCAAACAGCAGGGATGAAATCCTGTGGTTTCAAAATCTGACTCCCTCTGGGCCCTGGCTGAACATGGAAATTCTGCCCATGATTATTTTGTGAGATATAAGTGAGAGCAATGGTCCCCAACCGACCATGCCACACAACACT